TAACTCCATGACCCAGTGGCAGGCTCTGTTCACCCACACAAAATGCTCCAGACCAAGGGGGTATCTGCCCCCTCTCCCTCCTGCCCTACCCAGAAAAGTACTTAAGTTTGATGACCCTCCTTTCACTGTTGCTTACACTCCCAAAAGTAGTATGGAATGGAGGATTTGCTGATCCCTATCTGCATGCAGAGTGCTGACTGCCTGTGTTGTATGGTTTCACAGTCCCAGAAAAGGGCCCTGATGTCCCCAGTGCCTCTTATGTTTGCTCCTGGATGCTCAAGTTTCTTTTATTAAGGACTCAACTTTTTATTTAACAAAGAAGGGGAGACAACGTGCATGATCTCCTATAGAGACAACAGATTTATACCACAGTGTGAATGATTAATACAAAGCCCTTGGGAGAGAAGGTTTTGATTGGTGGGCTAGAGAGAGAGTAGATAAATACTTGACTTTACAACAAGCTTATGCCTATGATGGTTAGACTTGAGGCATATAACAGTTCATCTACTTCCCATTTCAAATTAGAAAACTAAGCCTCTGACATTATTATGTACCTGAAGGAAAGGTGGATTAAGAGCCAAAAGGCAGGGACCAGACTCCTAGCCCTTCCATTTACTAGTTGTGTGACCTCAAGAAAAAAGTCATGTCGCCACTCTGAGCCTCAGTTTCTTCACCTGTAAAATGGGGATAGGGTTAAATGGGAGAATGTGAGTGAAAGTGTTTTATAAATTCTAAAGCACTGGTGAATGTCAGGGCCACTGTCACTGATCCCAGTAGAAGTAGCGTCACTCTCCACCAGCACCCTTGTTCGGGGCTGCCCCTGGCAGGGGCTGCATTCGTACATGCCCAGTGGGACTTAGCGTGGCCTGGTGTCTGCAGCTGGCTCCACCTGTCTGTATCTAGGCTGGGTCATTGTCCACTCTTGTACCCTCAAGTGCTCAGCACAGGTTGGCACAGAACAGAAGCTCAGGAAATGCTGATTGAATCACAGTGACTTGGTTGCAGGCCCACAGCAAGTGGGTGCACCAGCCGGGCTGGCTGCCCAGTCTTGCAGAGTTGGGGGGAGGGGTCAATCCCCACCAAAGCAAGTGTAGGCTTCAGAAGTGGTGCTGGGGCTGAAAGCTTTCTGGAACAAGCCCCCCTCATGACACAAAGTCTGTTCATTTCTGAGGCCATGGAACTTGAGCCCCCATCTCTGCCCACAACACAAGAAGGCAGCTAACAGCAGTCCTGGGAATGCACCGACACAGCCATGTTTGAATGGGAGGCTCTACCTGGCTTCTTCCTAGGGCTCTGCAGCTACAGGTACGTGCATGCTTATGGCTTCATTTGATCTCCTAAGGCCTCTGGGAAGTGCTGGGGCTCAGGTATGAGGGGCACATCTGGGGCTTGACTGATGTCAAGTGAGGCCTCGCAAGTGAGGCCAGTCCCCTTCCAGGGGACCTTCACTGGCACCAGGAAGTCAATGGCCACTTTTGATCTTTTCTGTAAAAGGGAATGCCATACTCTTAACACAGAGAGCCAATGGTTTTCTTTAAAAACACCGTCTATTATAATCCCTCCAGAATAATTTGCTTCTAATTAGAAACATCCCATCACTTCAGTGGTGATTAATGCCTCTGGTCTTGAAACTGAAACATATCAACTTCTGATTAAAAAACACGCTGTCCTAGAATGAAATGTGATTTCCTCCTCTCCCAGTTTCAGTGACACCTCCCTCCCCACCCCAACCCCAGGTTGAATACATGGGCCCAGCATTTAGTGGGAGAAAACAATGATTTGCACAGATTTGGAACTAGCTAATATCCCAGGAGGGCAGGCAGCTGCATGGCAGTTTCCAAACAGAGCAGAGCAGTAATACTGCCCTCAGTAGGGCTGGGAATGTGAAGTCGGTCTCTTGGATGGGATCCTGGTTAGGGTTCGGCCACTTGCCGAGGCTGGGGGAGGGAGAAGGGGCTCCAAATCCCCTCCCAGCCTGCCCTGCCTCAGCAAGGTTCTGTACAGGAAGGGCTGGATGCCAGACCCCTCCCGAGGGATGCTTGGTCCTTCTCACTTCAGGAAGTGCAGGACAGCACCTATTTTGCATGTCTTTGGGCTGGCCTGTCTATCATCTCCCTGGAGATAGGCTTATCTTTCTCAACAGCACCTTAGGGCCAAGTGACAGGAGATTGCTTGGAAGGAAGATGTCAAAGTGTCCAGATACACTGGAAATCTGACAGTGTTCAGACTTCTTTCTACTTTCCTTTTGGGCAACTTGTTTGCTACCTTCAAAGTCTGGCATGTGGGAGGTTTGGATGCTGGTTACAGGGGGGTCATCCACGATGATTGGTTTAAAAGTGCACTGACCCCAATTGTGTGACAATGGCACAGCAAAAATAACACATCAATCAGAAAGCAAATCCAGTCTGAACAAGTGAAAATGTCAGGGGAAGATCCATCCCCTGGAATCCACTTCTGTCGGCCTGGTCACCCAGTGAGTGAGGATAAGGGCCCCATGGGACCGGTATCCATCCCAATTCTCCAGAGCAGGCACAGGGAAAAGCAATGGACGGATTTCTACTGCTGTGCTGGGGTGGGGGTTGGGGGCGTGCCAGCCTACCCAGTGATGGCGGCTGAAGAAGGCAGTGGCAGTGAGTCGAACAGCTGGGATAGGGTCTCTCGGTTCAGTTCTATGCAGTCTCCACCACCACCAACCTACACACATATATACACACATGCCGCCTTCCAGGTCAGTGTCCCTGCAGTTCTCAGCTGGGAAGAACTAGTCTGCCCTGGGCCCTGGCTCTGGCCAGACCTGCTGCGGGGGGAGCAGCTGGCACCAGTCCAGGCCCAGTGCTCGTCCCAAAGGCTGGATGCACACTGATTGGATGCCATTGGATGCCAACCCCTGACAACAGCCCAAATCTGTACATGCCCTTGATCTTTCTTTTTTTTTTTTTGTTTGTTTGTTTGTTTTTGCGGTACGCGGGCCTCTCACTGCTGTGGTCTCTCCCGTTGCGGAGCACAGGCTCCGGACGCGCAGGCTCAGCAGCCATGGCTCACGGGCCCAGCCGCTCCGCGGCATGTGGGATCTTCCCAGACCGGGGCACGAACCCGTGTCCCCTGCATCGGCAGGCGGACTCTCAACCACTGCGCCACTAGGGAAGCCCGCCCTTGATCTTTCTTGTTCTTACTTCCAGGGATAGCTGATCAAGCTGGCTGTGGCAAAAGCAGGCACTGTGGCCTTCCAAAGCCCTACTATCCTGAAGGCCAGGAGGCATTATTCTCCTCGGCTAGCTAGGAAGAGGAGGGCCAGGTAAAGGCTCTATTTTCCTGGAAGCCATGCCCGATGGGCTGTGGTGGGGGGAGTTTGCCAGAATGTGTGCCCATGTCCTCGGCTGAGGAGGGCGCCAAGTGCTGCATCGAACTCCTCAGGCACTATTCACATCCTTCCTTGGACGTTCTGCTGCTCCCAGGACCAGGAAGTACAAGGCACTTAGGAAAACAAAAGTGTCTACCTGGTCCTCAAAACCAGAACCATTAGGCTGGAGAAACCCAGGAGCGGCCATCTGCAGGGCACCACCCCATTACGGCGACTCTGGAGCCCTCACTCACTCTGTGTCCACCATGTGGACGGAGCTCTGAATTGGGGTTCAGAAGCTGGACTCTGTCAGAGAGGAGTGGCCAAGTCACTTAACCTCTCTGAACCTCTGCTCCCTCTTCTGTAAAATGGGGATGAACACCCTCAAAGGAGAGGGCTGGTGCTGGGCCACGCAGGGGTCACTGCAAAGAGAAACCAATGCTGGGGCCCCAAACCCCCATGGGTCCGTGCAGCCCAGGCCTGAGCTGACCCCTCTCCCTCACCTCTGCTCCCTGCCCAGGGACACCTGTGGCCATGGGAGTCACCCTTTACTAGTACAGGCTGTATTTAGGGTGTGACCACAAAGACCCCCTCAACTATAATGACAGCTTTATTCTAATTCACACCTGGACGTATGGAATCCAGGCAACATTATTCTGCCTGGCCAGCAGGTAAATTAAAGCATAAAGTGGCTGAAGGAGTCAGGGGAGCTGGAGGACCGCAGTCTGGGGAGATGCGCCCGCCCCTGCCAGGCCCCAGGTCACAAAGGCCACGTGTGGATATAGGCCATGTGGCCAGATTTCTGTAGAAGACCCAAATCCAGATTTTCAGGTGAAATTTTCCCATTTTTAAATGTTAGCAATCAATTCCAAACTGTTTAAGATATTGCACAGGCCACACAAAGCCAGCGGCTCTCAGGCTGCCAGTGTGCAGCCTTCGAGCACAGATATCAAGAGAAGCAAACGGGGAGCTTCCAGTTGCTGAGACCAAAGGGAAACAAACACACTCTAGGCTCTCGTTGGAAGTTTTCATCAGAAAATCAGACATCAGAAATTTTACAGTGTTTGGGAAAATGCTCTAGAAGACCCGCTGGATGGTTCTCAGGGGTGACAGTGGTATCTATCTCAGGTATGGGTCAAATATATCAGGTGAATTAATAAAGCAAGGGTTAAACAGCAGAGAACGAATGCTGTTCACTTAAATGCTGTTTAACTCTCCTGCCCCAAGGCTCTGGGAGATGCTGTCGTCAGTCCTCACCCCAAGGGCCCTTTCTCCTCCTGCATCCTCCAGGCCCTTGCCCAAGGGTCCTGGAAACAATGAAGTGCTATTTGCCCATAGTCCCCTCTGCATCTGCCTGAGGACAGACTCCCACCATTGAGGTTCTCTCAATGGCTGGGTGGCCAAGCTGACTGCAGGATGCACACGGGTTCCAGACTGGCACCCATTGCACCCCTTCCTGCTTTGGGGGCACTCAGTGCCCTTCTGAATGCACACCATGTGGGGTCACCAGCAGGTGCAGAGTTAGGAGAGAAAGTGAATTCACCTGGTGAGACTGGGACCACCTTGTTAACTTGGGGCCCATGGTGAGAGAGCTGCGTTCCCGCCTCTTGAGTCGCAAATGCTGCCCAGGGCAGGGTGGAAGCGCACACGCCACACTCACCTTGGACCAGCCCCCTGTTCTCCACTCATAGCAGCCAGAGTAGTCCTCACAGGGCTCCTCAGCTCTTGGCCTCGTGGATGCGTCGCATTTTCCTTGCGAGTTGGTGCATGTCACAGTTCGTTTCTTTGTCCCTTTACCACAGCTGGCAGAACACTGCAAGATACCATTCCAGAGACTGAATCCAGTCCAATCTGGTCAAGTCCATCAACACCTGAACATCTGTTAAGTACCTACCATGTACCAGACCCAGTGCTGAGGATGAAAGGATGAGGATGCTATGTTTCAGACCTCAAAAAGCTCCTGGTCTTTTAGAGTCTTATGCACATGGCCCGAGCTGGTTCCTCCCAGCTGGCCTCCAGGTACCCATGCTGAGCCAGCCTGGGGCAAAGGCACCAGTTCAGGGGGGAAAAGGAGGAGATGGAAAGCAAAGCCAGAGGTGACTCTGACATAAGGCGGTTGGCAAGCCCTGCAGAGAGCTCTAGCGATGGTTTTAATGTGAATGCCAAGAATGGTAACAGGGCAATGTCCCCTGTGCTATTTTTCTTCCTGGGAAACATAGCAAGAGATGGTGTGGGGAGGGGACCTGAATAGTGTCTGAGGGGTGACAAATGATGTGTGAGCCCTGAGAGTTCAAGATTCCCATGCCCTCAGGCAGCACGATCCACAGAAACAGTGACAAGAGGTGGAGGGGTGACAGGTCATAAACATGGCAGACTTGGGGGTGGGTCTGGAGCCTGTTCCTGGAGTGTTCCCAGCCTACCCGCTGGGCTTGGGGAGAGAAAGTGCCTGGCTCGCAAGAGTGAGTGCTGAGTGCTTACCCACTTCAAAACAAAGCACAAGGAAGAGTGGACCCTTGACCTTGGGAGAACATGACTGACTTGACCAGCAAGCAGAGGTGACATGGCCTGGGAACCTGGGGAGCCCACCCTCTGATTTGTTGTGTGTGGAAGCCTAGTCCCTACCATGGAAGCAAATACATAGCTCGCAGAGATGGTGGGCTGAAGGCTGGATTCCACCAAATGCACTGACGTGATGAGACCCATGCTGCCTGAGGAAATTCTGAGGGGGATTTCCTCCCAGCAGCTGGGTCCCAGAGATACCATGGGGGGTGCCCAATAGCCGTAGTAGCACAAATGGAGCCCCAGCAACTCTAACTTCTGTTTTTACACTTGCTTGATTTACCAAAAATATGGGAGGCTACAGCAGTGATTTTTCTTGAGCTACAACAAACTTGACTTTTAAAAAGTTCCACTATGTCCACTGAAAAAATGCACATAAAGGACAAATGTCATTCTTTATATTTGTTATTAACATTTACCTCAAAATGCTATCTAGCTTTATTTTTCCTATGAATTCAACCTAGCTCTTCATCTGCTGGTCCTGTTCTTATTTATTTATTTATTTTTTTGAGACTAATTTAGACTGGTTTGTTTTAGAAGAAATACACATGCTTCACAGGCGGTTGTGGTATAACCTGGGGGGAATTTGGAGAGCTCATGTATTTGATCTTCTGCGTGGGTTTTAAAGGGACTTCCTTGGTGCTCCATTGGTTAAGAATCTGCCTTCCAGTGCAGAGGACGTGGGTTCAATCCCTGGTCAGGGAACTAAGATCCCACATGCTGTGGGGCAACTAAGCCCACGCGCCTCAACTAGAGAGCCTACATGCCGTAAACTATAGAGCCCATGTGCTCTGGAGCCTGCGCACCACAACTACAGAGCCCACATGCCGCAAGTACTGAGCCTGCACACTCTGGAGCCCACATGCCACAACCAGAGAGAAGCCTGTGCGCTGCAACGAAGAGCTGCGCTCTGCAACAAAAGATCCCACATGCTGCAATGAAGATCCTGCATGCTGCAACTAAGACCTGACGCAGCCAAAAATACATAAATAAAATATATATTTTTAATTAAAAAAAATAAAATAAAGGGACCTCGAATGCAAGGAGTCAGTCCCTGGCAGGCTTTACCCACAGGGCCTCCCAGGGCAGAATGGGTGGGGCCTGGAGGGCTGCTGCAGGAACCCCTGGGTTACTGCATTGAAGGCCCATCTTTCTGCTTCTCTATGTGGCAATGCTTTCTGACCATTTCATCAGCTCCACGCTCACCGTCTGCCTCACGGGCTCCTCCCTGGCAACAGCACCCATACCACTGGCTCCTTATGCAACTAGGGGCCTACTCACCACTTCTGCCTGAGTTTCTGCCTGGTCTCTCTCTACTCTGTGTTCCTTGCCTCTTCCCTTGAATTTTAAACCCTCAATATCCAGCCTGTTTCTTGACCAAACCCTGGCCTGGCCCCTTTTGACCAGAAGCCTATTGGCTGGAAGCCTTCAGGAAGGGCAGTGCTGCAGGCTGGGGTCACCTTGGAAGGGACCTAGGAGGGTCATGTTCTGCTTCTCTCTTGGCTTCTGATCCAGGGATGGGAACAAGAAGTCGAGGACAGGAGAGGGTTGCTACCTTTTGCTTCCTTCTCAATATTTTTTTCCTCATTCTAATGAAGTTGGGAAGAAGTTGGGGAGTAGTGGTGACAGTGATCAACACTGCTGGCTGAATATAGGCAAGCCCATCAATAAAAACTCACCCATGAGAAATTTAAACCCATTCGTTTCCAGAAGAAGAAATGTTAGAGGGGTTTCTGTACTTGAAAAAGTGGAAGGAATACCAGTTTTGTGAGCATCTCATGGAGGAAAGATTTGATTCTGAGTCAAATGTTTAGAAAAAAGCATTTTGCTTGAGCCTGAGCTGAGCCAGAATTAGACTGATTGGTGTGGATACTATTTCAGGATTAGGATTAGGCAACACATAGATATAGGAATAGGGATGGAGATATTTCTTTAAATCTTGCTCCAAATTGTCTCACACTTTCCAAAATGGTGCTCTTCAATACTGTAATGATAGTTGATTATGTCAGCCTCGTTTATTTTGTTAAGGAGGCATTTTTCTCCCATAAGAGACCTATAAATGGAAAATTTATGGTTTTGATCTGATAAAGCATAAATCTTGTTTGGATCAAGAACCAGGTGATCAAGGCCCTAAGGCTCATGGCAAGGGAGAGAGACTGCACACCTGCCCCTACCCTTCTAGCAGGCATCCCCCTCCCCAAAAGTCCACTGAATGTTAAACTTATTAACCTAGGTACGTGTAAAGAAAAAAAATCTTTTAATGTTAAAACTCTGTCCTTTTCCTAAAATATCTTAAAGGATAGGCAAAAAACGCCCATCTTTAAATGGGTACACGTCAAGATCTGCCTAAAACATAAACTCAGTTTTAGAACAGCCAAGGGCAGACTTTTCGTTCATTAAAAATGGGCTGAATACTTTCTTATTCAAAATAATTCCAACTGCTTGGCAATAAGAAGGAACTTTAAAAATATTTTCCACACTGAAGAGTGTCTTGGATTTAGCCTTTCTGACTTTCCTAGAACACGTTTGATGGAGGACCTGAGGGAAGCTTGCCCTTTATTCAGCTATTTTTTTTGTTTCTTAGCCAAACAATCAAAATCATTAATGCAAACTCAATGCCAAGCCTTGAAGGATGATATTACCGAAGATAAAATATTTCTAGGATCAATCTTCAAAGTTAAAAATTAAGGCTTAATTGACCTCTTTCCAAAATGTGTTATGGCATGAGATTTGTAACCAACTCACACACTGAACGCTGTCCCTCCCAACATCCTCCTGCCTCTTGCAAAGGCAGCTCCACAAAGACTGCCATGGAACTGAAGGGAAGCCTTTGAAACCACCTTCCCAACCTGACCACCCTACAGTTCCAAAGTGCACAGAAGAGATTAAAAGGTGTCTATTTGTCTACCTGCCTACCTACCTATCTCCTATGTATCTATCCATCCACCCACCCATCCATCCATCCATCCATCCATCTATATTTACATGAGAATTTTCACAGGAAACGGAACCAAACAGTACTGTGATATACATTATCAAAAAAACACACTATCCATGTTTTCTTGGCCACGTTGATATCTCTGATGGAATTTGAGAATATGTGACTTAGAACATGGCTTTGAGCTCCTCTGGGGTCTGGCTAGGACTGTGATATGTGGGGGTTTGTCAAAAACAGCAGGGAGGGAAAGGAACCATTTTGGGGTTGCTACAAACAAGGCCCCGAGGCCCTGGTGGTGGTTTCAGCACTGGCAGCAGCCCAGGCACCCACCTGTGACCACTCTGACGCCTCCCAGATGGACAGGCAGTCCTGGCCTTCGCAGCTCTGCACTGCCGATGGCCGGGGCACTGGGCAGTAGAGGGGCCGAGTGGCGACATGTGTGCCATTCTGCAGCTGGTACATGCAGGTCACTTCCCGGTGCTGGATGCCCTTCTCACAGGTCGCTGAGCAGGGGCTCCACGGGCCTGCCACCCACCTACCCAGAAAGAGAAAAGACAGTGAGAGAACAAAGGGCCTTCCAGGCAGATGTTGGAATTGTGGGCCTGCTGTGGGAGGGAAAAAGACAGACTCAGCTTTGTAGTTGGCTTTGGAAATAATTCTGGAATATCAGAGCTATTTGAGTAGAGTGGTTCAGTGGCCTACTCAGTACAGAAATCTTTCTGCAACTGCCCGCACCCCCCGCCCCCGCCCCACGCCACAACGGCAGACTGAGTTATTGTCCCTACGTCCCCCTCTTGCTGTCTTGTGCCATCTTTGTTCAGTGGGGGTGTGAGTGGATACGAAGCTGGCCACATCCCAGCAGAAGCTTTGAGTTACTATGTGGTTTGTCTCTCACTCTTCCTGTCCTCTGCCATGAGAACAGCAGGTCCAATACAGGGGCTTCCTGACTGCTGGGCTCTGTAATAGCATGATGCTCTTGTACTCCACAGAGATATTAGGGTTGTTTGTCACTGCAGCAAAAGCTGACTGGCACAGCCCTCGACAAAGGACACCCCAGTCCCAGCTTAAACACACCAGGACTCCCTGCTTTCCAAAGGGTGGTGGGCCCTCCTAAGTGGGGACTGTCATTCTTGAGGAGGCAATCTGTGGGCCGTGGGAAGACTAGGCTGCTGAGGCCATCAGCTGAAAGTGCTCAACTAAGACTTTGTCTACCTGCCTAATATTTCAATGATCCCAATTCTCTGTTGGCCTTAGGGTGTTGGAAAGGGGCTAGGCAGTTTGGGAATGATGATTTCTCAGGACACAAACAGGTCTTTGTATGCACTTTTAAAGACTCTCTGTGCTCTGATTCCTGGACGAGCCTCAAATATTCCCAGCTCCCAGGAGCTCACTACTTAACAAAGCAGTTCCATCTGGATGGTCAGCCCTGATAACCACTCAGTTCTCACATTAGTCAGACTCGTCCTAAGTCCCACTTGAAACCAAATCTAATGAGGCCATCCCACTGTTTGGAAACATCTAGGTTCTGATGATGAGGCAGTGAACGAAACAAAGCCCTGCCCTCTGAGTCTTCCTATTCTAATGGGGACAGACAGTAAACAGATGAACAATGTACAACAGAATACAACATAATGTAATAGAGTGTATATAACATATATGCAGAGAGAATATGCAACACCATAGTAAGTGCTTTAGAGAAAAGTAATACAGCACAGGGCAGATCAGTGAGGAGATGAGGGAGGTTGGCACTATTTTATTCAAGGTGGCAGGGATGGCCTGGCATTTGGGCAGCGACTGGAAGGAAGTGAAGCATGAGCCCTGTGCTCTGTGGGAGAAGACTTGCAGGCAGAGAGCATAGCAGGTGCAAAGGCCCTGGTGGAGGGGTGTGCTGGCAGGGCTGAGGGGCAGCCGGGAGTCCAGTGTGGCTGGGGAAGGGGGTGAGCAGGAGAGGGAGGGGCATGAGAGGGAGCAGGGGGAGATTACACAGGGCCTGGCTGGCTGCTGTGGCTCTTACTTGAATGAGATGCAGTCCTGGAGGGTTTGGAGAAGGGAAGACATGCCTTCCAGGGCCACCCTGACTCTGTGTGGCTACCAGCCTACAATGGGTAGGGGCGGCAACAGGGAGAGTGGGGAGGAGGCTACTGCAATGGTCCAGGTGGGAGATAAGGGTGGCTTGAACCAGCTGGGGGTAGTGGAGGTGTTGGACTAAATGTTGAGAAGATGGGGCTACCCAGGCCCCTCCCTTCATCCCGACATGGTTTCTCCTTGTCCATTAGGGCAAGCTCAGACCACCTCATCTAGAGCTCATCTCCAGTCCCCTTGGCAGAGCTCATCACTCTGCCCTTCATGGCCCAGGGACTAATGCTAGTGAAGCTCCTCTTGTCAGACCCCTTGCTCATGCTGCATGGGATGGAAATACAGTGCTGACCTCGGGATATGAGGACAAGTAACATACTGCCTGCAAATTGCTTATGGCAGCACCTGGCACACATAAGCCCTATAACATAACTAGTATTGACATTATTTTGTGTTTCCTTGGTGGGAAATGGAGACTTCCCACATGCATGCAGCCTTGCTCCCATTTCAGTACCTGACAACTGCTTAAACATCACCGAATCAAACCAACTTCTACCCATTTTGTTCCCCTTTTAAGTTTTCTCTTCTCTTGATCAAAATAATTTGCAGATTCTCAATCCGTTTGTAAGTCTCTAATCAGTCACTACTGTTCTTAAAATGGACTGATTTGTCATGGACAGTATGGTCCAGATGTGATCTGAAAGCAGCAAGAGAGAATGTGATGATTTTCTCTTTAAATGGGGACTTGCTTTCATGAATACTCCCCAACTCTGTACTATTTCTTTTCTTTTTTTAAAGCAACCACATTGTACCTCTGTTAGCGCCTACTATATTTTTCTCTCTCATGAACTGACTCTCAGCCAGATCTCCTTTGTCCTGGCCTTTTACAATTAACTTTGTGAATATAAATGTTAGGTTTTAGGTTGAGACCTGTTCGGCATTATTGTGCTGACCCCAACTGTGAAATGGCTTAGAATCCTGCTCCTGTCTTTTGTATTTCCTGTGATTCCCAGGGGTGAACCTCGGAAGTGGGACCTCTATGTCACACTCATGGGACTGTCACTGCCCTGGGCATGCGTGCCATTGCCATAGGGTACCAGCATCTCCATTTCTGGCCACACAATCAGAGCATGTGTTCTAGGGAATGTGGACGCCAACTCTGTTCACACAAAGGTCACATCCAGGACACCTGGGGGAATGGTGAACTGCTGGGAGGACTCAGCTGTCCTGCCTCGGGGGCTCCTCCAGCCCCATCACTGGCTGGAAAAGTCAGATCTGTGGAGGTCAGATTCCTGTAGAGCTGGGAGGGACCGCCAGCCCTCCAGGTTCTCCTTTCCTTTACCTCTGGTGTCTGGTGCTTTGCAAAAGGATGACAGAATGGAAAAGAGCCCATGCATCCCTCCTCCTCTTTCCAGAAGAATCCTCAGACCTATCCCCGCCTGAAACGTGTGACGAGCCGCCGACAAGAGGGCTCTTTGTCACAGGTGCACCTGCTTCAGGTTATCGGAGCTATTTTTCAGCTGGACCTTTTTGCTTCTGATCTTGACAAACACCTCAGTGAGGTATGGGGAGAAAAAGTGGCCTTCCTAAAACTTCATTTTTGGTGGCTGAAAGAATCCACTTCCCCTGAAGGACCTTGGCTGCAGGAGGCCCATCTAGGGCAGTGGGATGATGTCGCACACCCAGACATCAGAGTAAAATCCCATTGATCCCAAGTCTAGTAACTTGGGAAAGGCCTGCAGTTCCACACGACAATGTATTTTACAATTACAATGTAAGCCTGAGCTTTTTTCACTCTTATCCTCTAAAAACCTTAACAGCGACATTCATTAGCCAAGTTTGAGTTAGCAGTTCTTCTTAAAAGCAATAAAACTGTAATTCTTGCTGAAACCACCATTAAAACTTCCCTAATCCAGGCCCCTCCCCTGTTCCCACGGGGTCAGGACAGCCTCTCCTGTCCAGCACAGGTGTAGCTCCTCTGTACATACTTCAAGTTCAATCATTCTAATTAGGTACAGTTTTACACCATTATCTGTGGTTTCACTTTCCCCAGTTTCAGTTACTAGCAGTCAACCATGGTCTGAAAACATTAAATGGAAAACTCCAGAAATAAACATTTCATAAGTTTAAACTGCACACTGTTCTGAGCAGTGGGATGAAACCTCCCGCCATCCCAATTGGTCCCGTCTGGGATGTGAACCATCCCTTTGCCCGGCTTATCCATGCTGTGTAGGCTCCCTGCCGGTTAGCACAGGAAATACATAGTATATAAGTATCTATAGGGTTCAGTACTATCCTGGGTTTCAGGCATCTACTGGGGGGCTTGGGATGTATGGCCTGCAGATGAGGGGGGACTACTAGGCTTTGGGCAGCTCTGTCACTACCTGAGACCCTATATTCTTTTTTAATTGCTGCTGTAGCAAATTGCCATAAACTTAATGGCTCAAAACAGCACAGATTGATTACCTTACATTTCTAGAGGTTGGAAATCTGACGTGGGTCTCACTGGGCTAAAATCAAGGTGCTGGCAGGGCTGTTTCCTTCTGGAGACTCCAGGAAGACTCTGCTTCCTTGCCTTTTCCAGCTTCTAGACACTGCCCCAATTCCCTGGCTTGTGGTGCCTTCTTCTGCCTTCAAAGCCATCAACTCAGGCCGAGTTCTTCTCACATCGCATCACTCGAACCTTCTCTTCTGCTTCCGTCTTCTGCTTTTAGGACCCTTGTGATTACACTGGACCCACTCAGATAATCCAGCATAAGCCGGCTGATTAGCAAACTGTATTAGTTTGCTAGAGCTGCCGTGAAAAGTACCACATGCTGGGTGGCTTAAAATAATATAAATTTATTCTCTTACAGCTCTGGAGGCCAGAAGTTAAAAATCAAATTGTTGGCAGGGTGGGTTCCTTCTGAGGACTCAGAGGACTCTGTTCCATACCTCTCTCCTGGGTTCTGCTAACATCTTTCAGGGGAGACCCATAACAACCTAATTCCACCTGTAACTCTAAGTTTCCTTTGACAAGTAACTAACATTTTCATCCCATTGCTCAGAACAGCGAGTTCCAGGGATTAGGATGTCGACATCTTTGGGGGTCATTATTTTGCCTACTACACGCATCACATTAACAGTCCTGAGAAATTTTATCTTATGTTCAAAATTCAGTTTCTATTCAAGGCTTGATTTGGCTGAGACTTAAACTAGGTAAAGATCTCATGAAATCTGCTGAAATGTGACAGTCTCACAAAGAAACAATGGCATCTTCAGGATCACATTCTTCTAACACAGTTATTTTATGTTGAATATAAAGTGAATCTCAAGTATAGATAACCAAAAAGAGTACACTGGTGGGTCATTTATTTTCAACAACTTCAAATTGTAAAAAAAATGTGAGCTGTTGTATTTCAACACAACAAGTGTTCAAGATAAGTGGTCTGTCCGTGGTGTCAACTTTATCCATCTCCA